TGAGCCGAAGGCAGTCGCTTAACCAACTGAGCCACCCAGGCGCCCTACCATAGCTATTTTAATAAGCATCCTTAAAAGGAATGAATTTGTCACTTTTGTTACTCTTCTCACAATCAATACAAAGACTTTAGAATAGTTTGATCTCAACTGTTCATTCATCAAATGATAGTCTCATTCCCAGTGATTTCAGTTGTTCTCTGTTATTTATTTATAAACACCACAAATTCCACTTCATTTTATACACTCAATGTTTATTTATTTAAATTCAATTAAATTTACTAACATTTTTCTATTGCCTCTTTCTACATTACAGACCAGTTCCCTGAGTTATGTTCATTAGAAGTTCCATTATTTTAAGTCTACTGGTGAAACTCTCGTTCTTTCTTTGTCTGAAAAGGCATGTGTTTTCCCCTTGTACTTGAAAAAAAATGGTTTTGTAGAAGGGGGAGTTCTAGGATAACAGCTATTTTCTGTGAGTTTATTGAAGGCATTATTCCTCCGTGTCTTGGCTGCCATTTTGGCTTCTGAGCAGTCAGCCATCAGTCTGGATTTTGGGGGGATTTTTGTTTTTTGTTTGGTTTGGTCAAAATCTGCCTTTGCTCTGAAGCTAATCAGCTAATTTTAAGATTTTTCTTTTTGGTGATGTTATCAGTATGAAGTACCTTAAGGGTTTCTTTTTTTTTTTTTTAAGATTTTATTTATTTGAGGGAGGGAGAGAAAGCCAAAAAAAAAAAAAAAGTGCAGGAACAGAGTGGAGGGGCAGAGGGAGGAGAAGCAGACTCCCTGCTGAATAGGGAGTCTGACATGGGGCTCCATCCTAGGACCCTGAGATCCTGATCTGAGCCAAAGGCAGATGCTTCACCAACTGAGCCACCCAGGCGCCCCCCACCCCCGCTTAAGGGTGTGTTTATATTAATTCCACCTTGAATTTGTTGGGTTTTCTTGAACTCACATTGTCTTTCAGCAGCTCAAGAAAATTCTCAGCAAGGATCTCAGAGATTGCTTCTTGCCCATCCTCTCTATTGGTTTCTTCTGAGCTCTTAGGAAACTTATGTGAGATTTTTTTCACCATTGTCCACATATTTTAACAGATTTCAGAGTTTACATCTGTCTGTCTGCACTGCAGTTTGGATAACTTTTCCAGTTTTATCACCCAGCTGTCTGATTTGCTCAGCTTTAAGTCTCCTGGTTAATCCATTCATTGAGCTTTAAATTTTAATGAATACATTCTAGTTTTAGCCCTTCTATTTGGTTATTTTATTTATTTTTTAAAAAAATTTTATTTATTTATTTGAGAGAGAGTGAAAGAGCACAGGCAGGGGGGAGCAGCAGAGGCAGAGGGAGAAGCAGACTCCCTGCCGAGCTGGGAGCCCAACGTGGGACTCGATCCCAGGACCCTGAAATCATGACCCAAGCGCAAGGCAGATGCTTAACCAATTAAGCCACCCAGGTGCCCTATTGGTTATTTTATAATTTTGCTTGTTCATTTTTGTATTCTCTTGTTCTTTGCTCAAATATTGAGGCCTGTCCTTTATTTACTCATTTTTTTAAGTCTTAGAATATGTTCATTAGAGGATGATCTGAAGACAACTTGTGATTTGTCAACTTAAAAATGTTTTGTTTCTCCATGCCATAGATTAAAGTTAACATAAAGACCTACCAAAAATTATTAGCTTCTTTCTCCTGGAATTGCCCATCAGTGTAGCACAGTATGATCATTTTTGAATTGCTAAAACGCATTGATTAAAGGCTTTCGCTGTGCTTCTCTTCACAGAGTAATGCCATCACAGCCCAGAGTTTTCAGTAAGTTTTGTCGCTTCTCAGAAAGCAAAGGTCCATGCAGGATCACAGATTCTGAGTATATTTGGAGAGCCTCTGAAATTGCTTCTATTCCTGACTCAGGCAATGCTGAATTTATATTTGAACCTACAGTTGGGTCAGGGACAGTGCCTGTGACCTCCTGAGACTGTAAGAGCCTATTTAACTTTCTGAAGGGTGATTCCTAAAGAGAGCATTTCTCTCTTAACTGCTATATTGTGGTCAGAACGTTGAAGTTATTTTTCTTAATCGGTCTTAAATTGGTGTCTGAGAAACTACAAGGAAGGCACTTTTTCCTGCCACATGGGTCACAAACAGTTAAGCAAGGCACTTAAACGGGAACTCGTTTTTAAAAATACATGAAATATGGTGATTAACATAACAATAAAAAATTAAAAAAAAAATAAAAAAAATAAAAATACATGAAATATTGCCATTTTATATTCTGAATTCCAACATTTGAAATCTTTGCAGGTTTCATTTCAGTGCTTCTGCAGGCTCCTACTCATGGTGACTTTTTTCCTTGTGTATTTTATGACTTTGGAGGGTAAATATCATGTTCCTTGGAATTTGTGAATCTCTGTGGGAATCCTTTGGGGATTGGAGTCTAGTCTGTAGCCCTCCATCTGTTTCTGCCTGTCATCGAGGGACTCTTCCAACCCCAGACCACTTGCATTTCAACGTGCAGTGTTCCACCTAGTGCCCAGGCTAAAGCAGGACGTTTCCATACTTGCCCTTTCTGTGCAGTGGATTTATTTCTTGTTCACCTTTATGGTGTCTCAACTCTACGTGCAACTTCCCGCCAGCCTCCTCACCTTGTGTGGGCCCCAGGCTGCATCACCGGTTCCCCATCCCCACATCCCACGAGGCAATCAAAATAGCAGCTTACCGTCTCTGGGGTTCAGTAGAAACCATCACAGAAAGACCACTTTGACCCTTGCTTAGTGCTTGGTTCAGCCTCCCGAAGTTCCTTAATTTTGTGCCACTTTAGCAATGCATTTTTAAATGATGTTGAAATATATGTTTAAGCATTTTCATGGGTTCAGTGGAAGGGTTATTTATCCGTATTATTGTGTGTGTCATACAGCTAGACACAGAAGTCTCCCATCTTCTTCTCTGGCTTACTCAGCAGTTAGGCTTTTCCCAGAGCACTCCACCAGAACCACTCTCATCGAGATCACCAGTGATGATCGCATGGCTGAATTCTGTGGTGATGATCATCTTCACCTTACTCGTGCCCTTCAGCAGGATTTGGCATAGCTGATTATTCCATCTTTCCCAAACAGCTTCTCCCCGTGGCTCTCAGGATACCTCACCTTTGTGGTTTTGCTTCTGACTCACTGGACCCATCTTTTTGGTCTCTGGTCTCTTTGGCTGGGCTCATCTCTTCTAGATATTAGCCTTCCTGAAACCCCAATTCTGAACTTGCTATCTACAGTCCTATTCCAGGTGATATCTAACCCCAAACTGTGAATGCATCTGTGTGTCAATAACTACCCAATTGATGTTTTCAGTCTCATCTCTCCAGAACTCGACACTTCCATTCAGCTGGCTGATAGATATCTCCCCTAGGTGTCTGGTGTCTGTGAGGCATCTCACACATAATATATTTTAAATTTATTCCTCTTCCGCCTTCTCTCTCCAAAAAATCCAGTCTTCCCCAGTTCTTCCCCGTATCTTTACATGGCATCGTCATTGACCTCATTGCCAGGAGTTAATGATTTCTCTCATCCCCTCACGTCTCTCTCCCAGTCCATCAGTGGGTCTTATAGTGTCTACCTGTGAAATTATCTTGAACCTGACCACTCCTCTTGTCCACCTTCCAGGCCAGAGTCACCGTCATCATCATCTTCTGTCACCTGGACAACAATTAGAGTCTCTAAATGCCCTCCTGGTTTCCATTCTTGTCTCCCCACCTCCAATGCCACCACCATCATCATCACCTCCTCCAGCTACAGATCTTTGGAAAATATGTCAAATCATGCCATTCTCCTATTCAGAATGCTCATGCTTAGAATGAAATCTGGACTCCTTACCCTGGCGAGCAAGACCCTGCGGTGTCTGGCCCCGTTGATTCTTTCACCTCTCCTCCCTCTGCGCTTCCTCCTATTCCTCTCGTGCTTCTGCCCGATGACCTTTCCCCTTTCCCTCAGACACGTCAGACTGAATCCAGGCTCAGTGCCTTTACTCACGCTGTTCCCTGTACCTCAGAATCTCTTCTCCCCTTTCTGTGGCTCACTCCTGCCCATAATTTCCATTTCTGCTCAAATATCATCTCAGTAGAAAGGCCTTCACTGACCACTCCATAGAAAATAGAACCATCCATAGTCTCTATCCCCTTACAGCCTTCAACACCGTGTGAAACCATACAATTTATTTCATTGATTTGTTTCCTATTTATTTTTCCCATTAGAATTTATACTTCATAAGGGCAGAGCCTTTGTTTCATTTATCATTCTCTCCTCAGAACCTGGAAGCATGGTTGGGTCAAATATATATTGATAGATCTCATTTTGTGTAATAGATGCTCAATAAATATTTTTGAAGTAAGGACTGAATGTCACTTCACTCCCACAATAACCAGTGAGACAGAAATGATTTTCCCAATCATATAGGCGAGGAGGCTGAGACGCAGAGGTGTTAAATGAGTTGGCCATGGTTACACCTCTAGTAAGTGTCCAAATTAAACCCAAGTGTGGTATCACTTTAGAGGCCATAATATTGTATTTTCAATTTTTTGAAATTTTTTTCTGAAGTTCACTTTGAAATAATGTCAGACTTGCCAAAAGAAGTTGCAAAAATAGCACAGAGTTCCCTTGTACCTTCACAGAGCTTTCTCAAATGATACCATCTTGTATAACCATAATGCAGTTATCAGAACCAGAAAGCTAACATGGGTGGAGAGCTACTAGCTGATGAACAGACCTTACTCACATTTCGCCAGTTGTCCCACTAATGTGTCCTGTCTCCTGAGTCTCCTCCAGCATGGAGGTTTCTGTCTTTGACCCCTGTGACCATTCCAAAGAGGACTGTATTCTCACTGTCAGGGTCGAATCTATGCAGAGTGCTGGACACGTGGGAAGTTTTCCATAGTAATAGCTGTTATTGTTGGGGAAATAAATAAACCTTCCTTTTGAGGAGTGGAAGGGGAAATATTTCTTCACATTGTTTGTTTTGCTTAGCTTGGCCGACCTTGAAGTGTTTATAAAAAATAGTGAGTGCGGCATGCTCAAGAAAGTTGAAAAAGGAGACTTCGAAGGATTGATCGAGGTCATGGGACACCTTTTGGCTCTGAAAGAACGACAGAGCAGCATCGATGAGATGTTTGAGCCCTTACAGCAGACAATTGAATTGCTGAAGACCTATGAACAGGAATTGCCCGAAATGGTGTTTAAGCAGCTGGAGGTCAGTACAAAGTTTGTTTTCTGAATAAAAGAAATAGAGGGAAAGTTTCTGACCTTCAGAGTGGGGTGAGGTGGGTTGAGGTAAATGAGAAATGGGGCTTGGTGAGGACCCAAGGCTTGTGTTTTGGAACTATCTGTGTGATGGATGTGTGCTCTCTAGCACATTCTGGAAACTCCATAAATAGGAAGCAACACAATGCTGGAGATTGATGGGAGAATTGACGTGGATGAAGTGTTTTTGGTTTTGTTTTTGGGGGGGGATTGGTGAGCCAAGTTTTTGATTCAGGGGAAAAAAGCAAGTCTGAAAAACGTTAAGATGGACTAAGGCGATGTGAGGCATAAAAGAAAATAATCAAGCACTCTGAGAAAATACAGAAAAGGGCACAGGTTACCTGGTTAGTGGTGGATGGCGGGAAGGAGGCCGTAGCCAGGCAAGCAGGCGACCAGGAGCGACAGGTCAGGGGAAGGGAGAACATGATGTCATGGTGTCACAGCATAGCCTCATAGCGGACCCGGAGACATCTGGGTGCCGTCCAGCGTCAGGTCTGCTGGCGAGGGGGAGCACAGTGTGGGTCTGACCACATGGAGGTCATCTTCGCAGGAGCTGCCTGAGAAGTGGAACAACGTGAAAAAGATGGCTGTCACCGTGAGGCAGCATGTAGCGCCGCTGCAGGTGAATGAAGTGGCCCTCCTCCGCCAGAGGTGCTCAGCCTTTGACCTTGCACAACAGCAGTTCTGGGAGCAGTTCCGCAGGGAAGCCCCCTTCAGGTATGTACCCACTCCTCTCTTTTCAACATGGCAATCATTGGGTAACTGAGGGTCTTCTGCTTGAGTTATTGAATTTCTTTTAGCAGATGAAGACTAGTTAAGTCTTCCTCCCCACTTGGGTCTGTTGGTTAGAACCTGGTGCTAACATGGGCAGAGTCCCATCATGGCCCGGACAAGACGACCAAAGATTGCACAAACACCGTGCCTTAAAAACAAAAGGCTAGAAACTCTGTGTCTTTAGGTTTGTTAAGGGACTGTATGTGATCAAATCACAAGGTTTTTGACAAAGCTGTTCGTATTCTAAATTCTCACAGACTCGTGTTCTTTTGGTTTAAAAAAGTGGCAGATAGAATTTGAAAATAGTTCTGGGAGGCACTTTGGAAGCCTAAGGGAAGGATTTGAGGTAATGGATTTCTTTCTTTTTCTGCTTAGTTCTGCTTAGATCCGTCCCCACTTGTGATAAGGGGTCTTTACTTAAGACAGCGATAGGACCAGGCAGCATCATTCAGATGGGTTCACACCCGCACGTGCGCGCATACACACACACACACGAGTTTAGTGCAAATCCTCCCTTGGTGGAGAAGTAAGTGTACCCAAGGGTCTGCACTTGGTCCACTGCTCAGTGTCAGGGGCTCCAACCAGAACAAGCTGGTTCTCAATGTCCTGTGTCTGCTGATGTGTCAGCTGAGATGGGCCCCTCCCTCACTCCAGCTCCATGACTTGCTTTCTGCTTGCCTAGCTGAACTTCCTACTGGCTCTCCACTACAGTTTAGGACAGACAAGTTTGGAGGGCTCCAAACTGGAAAACGCCCTGTGTAAGAAGTGACCTTTTAATTGCCAGGGTTACCTACCCATGGAAAACAATATTACATGGGGAGGCAATGCATTAAAGCCACAAACGAAGCCAAAAACTAACTCTGGGCTTTTAGTTCTCTCATCTATAAAATGGAGTTAATCGTAGGATCCATCTCATAAGGTTGTTGGTAGAATGAAAGAAGTAATTTTTGCAAGTGTGTACCATAGTATCTGGCACGAGGATGACCAACCATCCCAGTTTTCGCTTGGTGGTTCTGGTTTTAGCACTGAAAGTCACACTTCCAGGGAAGTCCCTCTGTTTCAGACAAATTGGAACAGTCGGTCACCCAACATGGCAGACAGGAAGGACCTACCTGTTCTTGTTATTCACTCACCAAACATTTATTAAGCAGCTCCTGTTTCCCAGTTACTGTACTTGGGTCTGGAGAGAACAACAGGCGTACGTTAAGAGGCAGGGCAGGACAGATGGGTAAACTCTGCATAAGATGGACATGTGTATGACATGAGGCTCTAAGGCAGTGTGCCGCCATGTTGGCTGCAAACTATAATCACCTGGGGAGCTTCTAAGATTTCCAGTGTCCAGTCTGCCTGCAGACCAACTAAATCAGATTCTCTGGGGACAAGACCTGGCATCAGTGGTTTGTAAAGCTCCTCAGATGATTCCAATGTGCAGCCAAGTTTGAGACTTGCTGCCCTAGGGGGAAGTCACTGGTTCCCTTTTAAGCAGTCATGCCAGGGCATGTAATTCCAAATGAGTTTGTATCCCTCTAGAAAAATTGCCTTTGGAGCTATGCCCTTGTTCCAAGGAAATATCTATTGCTCTAAACATTGGCGAAACTCCTTCTGGGACTGTTCTTTCAGAGTCTGAGACATATTCTCTGGACTCTCCTTCGGACATGCAATTGAATTTTTGAAATTCAACACCAATCATGCAGAGCCAAAGCTGGTGAAGGAGGTGGGTTATCGAGCTGAGTAATACTGCTTAGTGGCAACAGTCCCACCAACGGCAACAGTCATGAAAGCAATGACATGAATGTCTTTACATTAACTGTCCCTTAAAATTTTTTTCAAAAAAGGAACTCCAGAGATATTTGGGGAAATATTTTCCCAAAGGGTCTTCTGATAACTGCAAAAAAGCAAACAACACCCATTTGCTGGTCTGATTTTGTGTGTCCGTTGGAAACATGGTATCCCTCCTTCAGAGTTATATCCTGCATGTGTATTGATCAGCTGGTGGTGTTCTTTTAATGTGATAGCTGCGTTGTTTTTTCTTTCTTAGCACTTGTATCTGCTGGCTGGGAGGATATTGCTTCTCTTTTCTGGGTTTTCCAAATTTGCATCTGTTAATTTGACATGCAGATGAATCTTTGCAAGAGAATACTTTGAAAAGAACTGCTCGCAGCAGCGTGGAAAGGCAAACATTACTTCAATTGTGATGTGTTTCTCTTCTTCTCAAGAAAACATCAGGACTAGAGCAGAATTGGGGATTTAGTGCTGAAGGGAGTCTTAGCGGGAATCAACTCATGCCTCAGTTTTGTTTCTTACTTTGGTGTATGTGAATGTGTGTGCTTGACATTTTAAGGCACTGTGTGGCAAGGGATTTTAATTCTGGTTCCTTCCTTTAAGATCATTTATGAATTTCTAAAATGCAGACCCTGGCACATTCCTCTGTGAGTGCAAGTTTCCGTTCCTGATTAGATTGCAGGTGAAGCTCACGTTGATCTTGTCTTTGAGGAGGAAGAAGAAAGTGAGTGTCTCATTAGGCTCTTGCAGCCTGTCAGATGCTGGGTGATGTCCGGTTGCTTGGGTAGAGGTTCTTCATGTTCACGTGTGGCTTCCTTCTGTAGTTCTTAACTCTGAGCTGTATCAGCATATTCCTAGCTGAGCTCCCTCACTTTACAGTAATTGGCTAAATCATCACACTCAGAATCAAGGGCTTTCCACAACTCTTACAGTTGGAGATGAATTTGCCCCTTTGAGTGAAAGGAACATTCCACACTTCTAGTGGCATTCTCTGATTCAGTGTTCCTGACTTTTAAGTGCAGTCTTCTTGACCTTAAGGAATGATGCCATGACATCCAGTCATCTTACCCACATCAAGACCAAGGTTACCCAGGGCTTTCTTAGCCAAAGCATTTGATCTCGATGAGCTCCAGCTCAACGGACACCATTAGTGTTTTCAGCTGACTGGCTACCAGATTCTGTGAATGGTTGAGAGAACTTTCTTGAAGACACCCTCGCCTTGGGTACTATCCTATATGACAACTAGAGAAAGCAAGGCTCTCCAGATGGCCCAGTACAGTAGACAGGAGGAAAGAAGGGCCTCTGTCTTGCTTACGTAGTGTCTGTTGTCTCTTCAGTAGCTGAAGTAAAGGGCAGGATTAGTCACCAAATCTCCCATGGACATATCGGTGCCCTAAGACATGTCATTAGTTCAGCTTGACCCTGTTCTTCCAGTTAATCTGACTCATTCACCTGATTCAGGTTTTCATAGAGAAGAAGAGATTGTGGTCTCAACAATGGAGTCAGCAAAAAACAATGTAAGTGTTGGGATTTTAAGATGATACATATTCCCCAACCTCAGGGACGATTTCAGACGTGAGTACTCAGACATGTTCATTGGGTGGCCAACTGGAGCCTCCCCTGAGGAGGCCGTTCACATCCCCTGTAGAAGATGGTGCTTGAGCCAACGGGAAAATGCAGATTAGCCATTTGGAAAAAGACGAGTGGGAGGGGAGGGCATTCCGGGCAAAGGCACAGAAGGGTGAGAATGTAAAAAACAGTAAGAAAATGCAGAGCATGGGAGTGAGAATGGAGTCATCCACACACCCAGGTTTTGGCCATGATCAACCACTGAGGAGTCTAAGCGTGAGGATGACGCAGTGTAAACACCAGTATCCCATGGCTACAGAGAACAGGATGGAGCGAGACTGACTCAAGGTCAAGTGCTCCGTGGGAGAGTGATGGCAGCAGCCCTGGATTGAGGCAGCGGCTGTGATAATGGAGAGAGAACGGATCTGGGAGAGACTTAGGAGGGGAATGAGCGGGATCGATTGAATACGGAAGATGAGCAGGAAGACGGGCACCGTTCTCTGTCTTCCATCCTGGACCAGTAAGTGGAAGGCAGCATTCCACTACTCACTGACACGAGGGCCACTGAATGGAAAGAACTGGAAGATCCCAGGTTCAGATGGGAGGAGGGGAGTTTTAGGACGCAGGGGTGTGTCATCACTGAGCGCACAGGCGTGGTTCTGAGGTCAGTATGTACCACCTGCTGGCTTCCCAATAATTAATTCAATTCACTCATTCCTCCCTCTGTCTCTCTCCATACCTGTGTCTAGGTCAAGCCTAAGTCAGTCATTTTTCTGCGATCATTCTCATGAGCACCAAATTTCCATTTCTCTCAATTCTATTCATCCCAACTTGGTAGGCATTTCTCTTTTAGATTAAAATACTTTTGCATTATTATTTCAATTTTAAAGACTTACTACACCCCCTTCCCTCCTATTGCTTTCTTGTTCTTATACTGTATTGTTCCCCTAGGGCTTGGAGAACTACTTTTAGTTTATTAGACACATTAATCAGCTCTGTGAATATCCTGAAAATGTGCACTAGAGTTTTGAAATGGGAAGAGGGTTACCTGCCCTCACGTCTAGGGATTCTTTTCACTACTTAGGCCAAATTAACTTTTATGTGTGCTCAGCTACAGGAAATGACCGTCCACAAATTTAAACTATAAACAAAAATTATGTCACGAGGCAGATGAAGTTTGTAATAGGTTTGACAAAGGATCACTTCTTCCAGATATTTGAGGAGCCAGTATTGATTTAAGGGTGTTCACATGTGTTAAGGAAAGAATGGTTGGAAAGACCATTTATTTTCTCTTGTGTATACCCTCAAACACTGTAGGAGCTCACATCTTACCTAATAAGTTATTCCTGAATTATACTCCATTAATAAAGTAAACAGAATGTGGGCTTTTAGAGTTTGTCTGGTAGATCTTGTACAGCAAGAGGCAAAATTCGCTTTGCAAGTCACTCCAGTCAAGATAAAAAGTAGAACCTACGCAACCCTGACAATTATTCTTTGGAAATGAAGAATAAGCAGACGGATTGCTCATGCATGGTCAGCTTTCCTGCTGGACCACTTGCCATGAGAATATTATATTGCTTTCCTTCTGGTTCTTTTTCCACTGGTCTCCTGGGGGAGAAAGCACCTTGCCTATATAGACGAAGGACCCTCTTCAGCTCTGAGGACTTCAATCTCATGTTCCATTCTGGAACTCTCAGGAGCTGGAGAACAGCGAAGATGTGTCATGATGTGACACATCTGAAGCAGTGTCCAGCAGACACACATGAAGCAGTCTTATTCTCTTAAGATGTAAATGCACAACCATAGCACACGAGCCAAAAACTGTTTAGATGGAACAAACAGAATCAAACGTAGCAAGCATCAAAGTTAATCTGACACTAATTTAATGGTATGCATAACTGTTATTGTGTTGCATGGTAATTAGTCTTAAGTGGCAAGCAGTTCAGGTAAATGACTTCAATTAGGATTACTTTCCATCCATCAAGTTAAATATTTCCAAAGACAACTGAGAGAGGAGGCAGTTCAAGAATAGGACTTTGTATGGCCTCCTCCTCTCCCTACCCCACTACCCACCCAACATACACATACGTATGTATACACACATATGCGCACACACACAGGAGTGCTAGACTGGAGGACCTGACCAACCCTCCGGTCACTCATTTCCTCTCAACTTTCCCCTTGATGATGAACCCCATGATGCCCTATTCTGATTTTAGAGGAACACAGTATTCACCCTGAAGTCAGGGTGCCTCGATATCTAGCCCTCCAAGCACACAGAAAGAAGAAACCTAAGATCAGTGATGGGGAGAGAGGAGATTAGGGAAGGAAAAGAAGAGGCTCCTTGAACACCTCGATTCTGCATGCTTCTGATCAAAGAAGTGTTGTTTGCCCATGTGGGTTCCTTTGTACGTAGGGTTCTTTATTTTGTTTTTAATTTTTAAGTAATCTCTATACCCAGCATGGGGCTTAAGCTCATGTCTCCCAAGATCAAGAGTCACATGCTCCACCGACTAAGCCAGCCAGGCGCCCCTGCACGTTGGGCCCTTGTGTTGGAGGAGAGGCTATGCCAGGAACACAGGTCTAGAGGGGTAGCACTGTAAAGCGGGTGAGGGTCAGGGGCAGTGGGGGCATGCCCTGAGCACTGGAGAGAAGGGGGTGAGGAAATGTGAACTACAACTGTAAAGCTAGATACAGCGTCTATAGCAGTTGGCTCCAGAAGCACAGGCTACCCAGGATGTAGGAGGGAGCAGGCCAGAATGGGGGAAAGGGAGATCAGGGACAACTTGGAAGAGGGACTTAAGAAGATGAGGAGCCTGACTTGAGGGACATAGTGAAGGAATGGGACAGTGACTGTACAGGGCCTTTGTGAGGGCTTTGTGCTTGGTCTTCAGGGTCCCCTACCCATGGTTCCCAAACTTGGAGGTGGTATTGCCTGAAGAGGGTGCAGGCTACCAGTGGGAGCTTCACCAGCATCAAGGACACCAACCTGCCCACTGGAACCACCCGGAGAGCTTGAAAGCAAAATGCCTTTGCCCAGGTCTCACCCCCAAAGAGTCTGATTTAATTGGACTGGGGAGCAGCCCAGGCATGGAGATCATTCAGAGCTTCCAGAAGATTCTAATATGCCACCCAGACTGAGAACCAGTGCCCCAGAGGGAGTGATGCCAAGTTTGGCCTAGGGTTGGGCTTCTAAGTGCCAGCTTGCTCACTTATAGACCACCTATGGCTTGTAGCTCCTGGCCAGAGCTTTGGCTTTATAGTATCAACAGTAGCATGACAGTGCCCCCTTATATCAGGTGCTCCAGAAGCCAACAAGTGAAGGGCAGAGTCTAAAGGGAGCTTGAACAAAGGGGTGGTTGCCTCTACACCTGGATGGGGGAGCTGGGGCTGGTGGAAAGAGAGAGGAGTCATTTTACCTTCTCAGATGTGAAGAAAAGATCCAAGCATGGTGTTCCCCTTGCATGGCGTTTTCTCCAGCTGGCCGTGTTTACCCCACCCCTACCTACCAGAGTGCCTTTTCTTCCCAGGCCTTGGTGACCATTACTGCTTTTTGCTAAAATACTAAGCACTTAAAGATTTGAACCGGTGTCACTTGGGTGATTCCAGGAGATGAGCCGCTGGGTGCTATACTCACAAAGGGAACACATTGTGTTTTGTAGGTTTGATAGCATTGATCCTTACCGAGTTCTGGATGCCAGGCACAGGGAGATACAGCAGATGGAATCTACCATGGCCTCCATTTCCGAGGCTGCTGGCTTGTTTGAAGTCAATGTTCCTGATTACAAGCAGCTGAAGCAATGCAGAAAGGAGGTGTGCCAGCTGAAGGAGCTCTGGGACACCATTGGGTTGGTGACCTCCAGCATCTATGCCTGGGAGACCACCCGGTGGAAGGAGGTTAACGTGGAGGCTCTGGACTGGGAGTGTAAACGGTTCGCCAGGCACATCCGGAACCTCGACAAGGAGGTCAGGGCCTGGGATGCATTCACAGGCCTGGAGAACATGGTATTGAACACCTTGACTTCCCTGAGGGCGGTGGCCGAGCTGCAGAACCCAGCTGTCCGGGAGCGGCACTGGAGGCAGCTGATGCAAGCCATGGGTGCGAGCTTCACCATGGATGAGGACGCCACCCTGGCCCATCTCCTGCAGCTCCAGCTGCACCATTTTGAGGACGAGGTCCGGGGCATTGTGGACAAAGCTGTGAAAGAGATGGCCATGGAGAAGACCTTGAAGGAGCTGCAGACCACCTGGGCCAGCAGGGAATTCCAGTGCGAGCCCCACCCGCGGACCAACGTCCCCCAGCTGCAGTCAGATGAGGACCTCATCGAGGTTCTGGAGGACAACCAAGTCCAACTGCAGAACCTGATGATGTCCAAGTACATTGCCTTCTTCCTGGAGGACGTGTCTGGCTGGCAGAAGAAGCTGTCCACGGCTGATGCTGTCATCTCTGCCTGGTTCCATGTGCAGCGCACGTGGTCTCACCTGGAAAGTATATTCATTGGCTCCGAGGATATCCGGGCTCAGCTGCCCCAGGTACCTGCTGAGGAAATCCTGCTCTCTCTGTTCTCTTACTTGAGTGAAGGGAGGAGCCCCTGGTTCCCTCATCTCTAGACCTTTCCTTCTTTGCTTGCCTTGGCTTCACCCAGAGGCACCTCCCACACACATAGGGGCCTTCCAAGCCATCAAAAGGCGGGCAAAGAGAGAAGGTGAAATGCACACCAATTAGTTTGTCCCTGGATTGGGTGGGGAAAAGGAAGGAGAACATGGTGTGTTTTTTGTTGTTGTTGGTGGTGGTGGTGGTTTTTTTGGGGCGGTGGTTCTGGGGGGGTTTTGTTGTTTTTTTAATGTATATACAAGAGAGGAAGCAGAAACTATCTGCTACCGCAGTGTGGGATGAGCTAGTCCTGAGTTGCTCCACAGATGATTACAGAGCAGCTAGCCACTGGAAGGGAGCCTTGTTTCCAGGCAAATGCAAGTTCCTTCTCAGCAGGGAGCCACTCTGTGACACCTCTGGCCTGAGCCACGCGCTTAACACCAGCCTTCCGCTCTGTCCTAAACAATGAATTTCGAGAAAATCTGCATTCTTCTCATTACTACCTTCCCTGTGGTTGATTGCCCCTTCTAATCTGTCCTAATTAACGTGCCATTAGCTTACCCACCTCTCGGTGGACTCGAATTCATTAAGAAAAATTTTTTTTTATTTTTTATTTTGCAGACATTCCCTTGTCTCCCTTTGGTATAGCAAGTTCTCGGCTTCCAAATTAGTTTCCTTCCAAAACATCATGTGTCATTCAGGCCCCACTTAAAAAGTTAAAGCTCATTCCGTCAAAACGTTGTATTTTTCCAGCTCATCCCACAAAAGTGTATTTCACGCCCTAATGCAGATTACAGGTTGTACATCTGGAATGAAAAACAGCCGGAAACCGTTCCGAGAGAGATGTCATTAGGCCAAATTGAATAAGCCAGATTACTTTCTCATCTTTCACGGGAACAAAATACCTCATGGATCAGTCATAATTTACCCTGCCATCCTATTTTTAAATCTTCTTAGGAGAGGGGCTAGCTTTCCCACTTGTAGCTGTGGGATCTTGGGCAAATTACTTAACCTCTCTGTGCTCTTGTTTACTCCTATAAACTGGGACAAATACCAGTCCCCACTTCAGGGGTGTAATTAAAGAGTGCACACAGCACCCACTGTTATGATTGTTGTCACATAATAATAATACCACAGGCTCTGACCAGGTGCCAGATATTGGGCTAAAGCCTGCATGTTATTGTCCCGGGCATTTCAACTACACTCTTGAGCAGTTGTATGTTTGAGGGAAACGATGATAATTAATTTGACATCACATTTGCTGAAGAACATCTTTCTTTGTTTACATCAACTTTTGCGCAGACCCAGAAGACACACTGGATCTGCTGTCCAGCCGATGCAGGAAGTATGTGTTTTACCCCAACGGTTCTCAAGGCATGGTCCCAGGACCCCGACCTTCGTAGGGGATCCTCAAGGTCAAGACTGTCTTAGTAATAATGCTAAGATGTTACTTGCCTTTTTGTTCATTCTCATTTTTCTATGCACACACGGGAGTTTTCCAGAGACTACTGGTCATGTGAAGTCACAACAGGTTGAATGCAGACCAGGAAAGAAAATCTGGTCATGTCCTAAGTCAGACATTAAATTTGGGGTAAAAAAGTGAAACAAGGCTACCTTCTAAGTTATTTTGTTGTGGAAAATACAACTATTTTAGATAAAAGTGTGTTATGTTACCGTTGTGGGTTTAATATTGTTACTTTTTAAATGAATTAACAGGGGCGCCTGGGTGGCTCAGTAGGTTAAGTATTTGACGCTTGATTTCAGCTCAGATCATGATCTCAGGGTCGTAGGATCGAATCCCATGTCAGGCTCCCTGCTCAGCGGGGAGTCTGCTTCTCCCTCTCCCTCTGCCCCTTCCCCCGCTTGTGCTCTCTCTCTCTCATTCGAATAAATAAAATCTTAAAAAAAAAAAAATAGTAATAGGATCATCCTCACTCAGCAGGGAGTCTGCCGGAGATTCTCTGTCTCCCTCTGCTCCTCCCGCCCCCCCCAAAAAATAAAGAAATCTTTTTTAAAAAATTTAACAAATACTTTTTAAATTTCTCAACTTGAACTTCCAATAGAGGAGACGCATTGATGGATATATTACCCACATACACAAAATCACTTTGCACTCCTCTGTGATTTTTCCAAAACAGAAAGGAGGTTTACAACCAAAATGTTCAGGAACAACTCTTTCAAGCTAAGGATATTTCCTTCTCTGAGTTTTAGAACATCCCCAGAACCAGTTTCTGCTTCTCACTTGCTACACGAGGCATCTTCGAGTCCAAGAAAGCGATAGTTCATTTTTCCCCACGTGTTTATTTCAGGATTCTAAAAGATTCGAAGGCATTGACATAGACTTTAAAGAGCTAGCTTATGCCGCCCAGAAGACTCCCAATGTAGTGGAAGCCACCAACAAACCAGGTCTTTACGAAAAACTGGAAGATCTTCAGAGCAGGTGACGGTCTGCTTGCTGCCTCCCCTTTTTGTCCTGAGGAGGGCAATGTTTCCTTTTTCCGATTCTGTCTCCGAGATCTTTACTTTCTTTAACTGTCCAAGCGAGCGTGTGTGTGTGTGTGTGTGTGTGTGTGTGTGTGTGTGTGTGTGTGTGTGTGCGCGCGCGCGCGCGCGCACCTTGGTTTGCCTGTATGTCAGGTGCCATTTATTTGGGTGGAAATGCACCAGTGTGTATATTTGCAAGTACCCGTAAGTGTTTCTTGCACCAATTCTGCAGGTAGTCCATACGCTGCGCCTGTCTTCATTTTGGCCGAGTCTATGCATGCACCTGTGGGTCTAAGCAAACTTAATCAGGAAATTCTGTGTCTGTGCCCTCAGGTTATACCTGTGTGAGAAGGCCCTGGCCGAGTACCTGGATACCAAAAGGCTTGCCTTCCCTCGGTTTTACTTTCTCTCTTCTTCTGACTTGTTAGACACCCTTTCCAACGGCACAGCGCCACAACAGGTAAGCTGAAGGAGAGCTCGTGGAAACGCTCGGAAGGATGGAGCGGGCTCCCGGTGGGGAGGGTTTCAGGTTCCCCATTATGCCTCCTCCCTCTGGCAGCGTGCGTATTTCAGACCTGTGCTCCCACCAGCATCTTCGATGCCCACCATTGTGCTTCTCAGGGTGCCCCCTGCCCATCAGTGGCCACTGCCCCCTAAAGGGGGAAGCTTTGAGGATGGGGAACGTGGAGGGGGTGCTAAGCCTTTACAGGGAACGCCTTTGATCTGATTCTGAAGAGCGATCCAGGACATCGCTGTCCAAAGTTATAGCTAAAATTTCCACAGGAGAGAAGACTGGAGGTTGTATTAACTCGACATTTTGTGATTTTGTGGAAGGAGTGTGTATGAGTAGCTCAAAATTGGGGGCTCTAGCCACTCATTGGCCATGTAGTCTTGGGTGTCCCTTCTCTTTGACAAACTTCCCTCATCTGTAAAATAGCCCCTTTGCTACAAGGTTGGTTTTTATTTTTTTTCCTTAGTATTAGAGTAACTAATTGGTGCACTGTTGGTATTTGGAGCTGTGGACAGTGGTTCTCAAACTTGAGAGTCACCGGGCGGCTCAGGTGTATCAGAATCACCTGAAAAGCTTGCGAAAAGGCAGATTTCTGAGCTCTACCCCCCAGAGCTTCAGATGGTTCTGTAGGTCTGGGTGGGGCTGGAGAACTTGCATTTCTAAGGGTTTCCCCACATGATGCTGCTGGTCTGGGGACCACACTTTGCGAGTGACTGTCCTAGACCAAAGGTCTGAGTCTCCCAAGTGACCGACAGGAGGGAGGGATGATGTCTCCATGCATGTTCCCGTAGCTCTTCTCACTTCTCACCCTAACAAGACTTCAGAATTCCTTTCTAATTCTCCACTTTTCCTGTGAGGATAGCCAGTCAAAACACCCTGTTCAGAAGTGACTTGGATGAGTTCTTTTCCCCCTTCCATGTGATTTCATTGTTCATCTGAAGTATAGTCAAGATCATTTATTTCTCTTTGCCTTGAGTTTTGGAGGTTTGTTCCCATCCTCGTCAATTGGATTGTTTGAATGTGTAGCATTCTAAAGTCAAACTACCCAAAAAGTAGTTTGACTACTCCTGTTCCTCACCTCCACTCCCGGTAGGTCACCAATCCCACTCATTCCTGGTCTATCTTTGCAAACATGAGCAGATGTGCGTTTACATTTGCACACATACATTTTCTTATTTACCCTCCTTTCTCACACAAAAGGTAGCGTCCTAGATATACTTGAACACCGTTTTTTTTTCTGTAGTGATGGGTCCTGGAAATCACTCCCTATCAATTTAAATATATCTCCCTCATTTTTTTTTTAATACACCTGCATCGCACCCCATGGGACTACACCATAGTTTGGCCAGAGGTTGTTTATACTATTTTGCAATTCCAAATAACGTGGCATTGAATAACTTTGGAGTATTGTATTGTTGGAGGTCTGCCTTCCAGGTACATTCCTAGAAGTGGGATTTCTGGGTCAAAGGGTAAGTGCTATGTGGTCGAGTTTGATATCGCCCCATTTCCCTCCATAGAAATTCTAGCTTTTTGCATCGCCAACGATAGATGGGAGCTGCTCCAACAGAGCCAAAAGATGGCACCCACACATTAGTTTTCTGTCTTTGTCATTAACTCTCCAAGTTACTGAACTGATGTTTTGGGTTTATCGGTAAGAAGCAAGTACTAAAGAGAATTTATCCCTAGAGTTAAAGCTCCCCCCACTTTTTTTTTTTTTTTTTTTTTTACTATAGATGGGAATCATTGTAGAGTAGCCCAGATATGGTGGCGGTGAAATATTTATCACACTAACATTCTGTTTTGTAACTATATGTTCATTAATTCCATGCACAGGAAAAGTCCGAGATCATTGCCAGACCCTTTATATATGATGTACTCCTTCTTAAATACTTTTTATTTATTTCTCACTTGGTTTGAGTAAATCCTTAAGTAGCTTCCCCCCCCACCATCCTGAGAGATGACGCATGAGAGGCTAACCCCCAATTCTTTCTATATCTGTGACTCTCAGCTGTTTTTACAGGTGAGTGATGGAATGGTTGAGTTCGGAATTCATGGGTCACAGCAATTTCTCCCCAAATCCCCTCAGACGTAGCTCTGAGACATCATCTGAGACGTCATCTGAGGTCTACCTGCCTTTGTTCCCCCCCCAAAACCTTTCTAGGTAGCCTAAGTTCTTTCTTTTTGGATTTCTGTAGAGATCAAAATTTAAGTTAAATTTTAATTCTAGAAAATTTGTATATGTTTATATACTTTGTTCATTTTTCCAACACATGATGAGGTTTTTTTTTCCAGTCTGAAAACTAGGGCTTTCAGTATCTTGAAAAAGCTTTCTTTCTGTATGCTTTAAAATAATATTTCTATTCCATTTATCTGGATTTTTTCCCCTTTGTATTTGCAAAATTTGAGATTCTATCTTCTCTGTGCTATATATATTACCTTCACATATTCATATGTATTTGCATATATTCATACAGATTTTCATCTCTTATCCCTCTTCCTTGGAATTCTTCCATAGGTTCTCAAGCTCATCTGCCATATTGTATTTGTTTTGATTTGGTCCTTTACTATTTGTTGTTTCCTTACATTATTTCCCTACCACTACCAATTCATCTTCACCTCATATTTTGTAAGGTTCGTGTTTCTTTCATTTAATTGAAAACAAGGTGGCATTTTTCACAATTACTTTTGTTTCCTTTATTAAAGCTTCTCCCTCCCTCTCCTTTCTCTGTCTGTCTCTCTTTCTCTCTTGGATAAAGAAGGCTCCATCCCATCAAGATATTCATCCCAAGTCACTGTGGGTGGGATCTCCTCAAGTACCTCACAGTTTATTTCAACACATACAGAATTTCTCCTCTCATAAGCCAGAGAGGTGGTTGTTGTAGATTTAGGGTTACAATTCAGGGTACCAGAAGCCTGAAGGCCCTGTATCTCAAAAGGCTCTACCAAAGAGCAGCTTTCTGTTTATTTTTCCTCTCCAACCTGCCATCTCCCTCACCTCATGATCATGGTGTGGCCCTCCAGCAACCCTCCCAGAACATTCCCCTGGGGCGTTACTGTAAAGGGCCTCTGTATCATGAGACAACCCGCAAGGGAGAAGTCCTGGCGTGGCTAGGCTTTCTGATTGGGGTAAGCATGCTTGCCTGGCTTTGGATCCTCCTGCTGCACCGAAATGGTTCCAGCATCTGGGCAACTTCTTCCACAGGTCACTGTCACCGCTGCCCTTCTGCAGACTATCCTCTGCCTATCTCCTGAGGAACAGGGTTTATGAAGTAATGGTCATTTTTTTTCTCCAGTCTGTTTCCATTTAGATCAAGCAGACATGAATCAAACTTTTGTGGCTTCATTGGGTGGTGGCTAGTCCACAATTCCCACCAATTTTATATTCCTTTGGCCACTCCTACCCAGTGCAGTTGGTTCTGACCTCATACCACCATCGTTCCCACAAGCTTCCCTCTAAATGTTTGATATCCAACCCCTAATGGCTGTCACACGGTAGACCTCTGAACAGTACTAATGAGCATCTTCCTGGACACATCCTCCAATCCTTTGGCACGATTTTCCTTTGTAGGTCCAACGCCATCTTTCCAAACTCTTTGACAATATGGCAAAGATGCAGTTCCAACCGGACGCTGGTGAGCCACCAACCAAGATAAGTCTTGGCATGTACAGCAAGGAAGGAGAGTATGTGGCCTTCAGCGAGCCCTGTGACTGCAGCGGTCGGGTAGAGTAAAAGTCCCTTTCCCTCCCTTCTCATCCCTTTCCCTCTCAAGTGTCTGCATTCAAATGCTGGCAGCCTCAACCTTCAGGATGGCCGTCTTGACCTTGAGCCAGAACTGCTGTCTGTGTCCCGGGACTGCCAGCTGCTCTTGACTTGAACTGACATCGGAAACATTTCCAGTCCCTGCTCTCCTCTCCCCAGGAAGGACACATGTCGATATCCATTTGTTTTTCTTAACCAGAGACCTGTGTGGAGAGGAATAAAATGCACATAAACAACTACCCCAGTCAACTAGAAAAGGAGTTTGTTTGTTTGTTTATTTATTTATTTATAAAGATTTTATTTATTTATTTATTTGACAGAGAGATAGCCACAGCAGGAACACAAGCAGGGGGAGTGGGAGAGGGAGAAGCAGGCTTCCCGCCGAGCAGGGAGCCCGATGCGGGGCTCGATCCCAGGACACTGGGATCATGACCTGAGCCCAAGGCAGACGCTTAACGACTGAGCCACCCAGGCGCCCAAAAAAAGGATTTTAAAATGATTAGCAGCACAGGGAGGCTTTAACATGACAACGCCTGGGGCACCCCACAGGGGAATCTAGCAGGCTGACATCTTACCATGGAGAGAATGCTCTTTGAAATCAGCCATTCTCCTGAGATGTCATTTCTCTGTACAAATACAGCTCAGAGTCACTTCCTTCCACAGCCCTAGCCCTGGGAAAGCCAGATCCCATCCCACTCCAGGACCTACTACCTCTAAGTCTCCCGTGTACAGTTCAAGAAGCACAAAACATGGGATGGTTCCCTCCTTAGACTTCCTTCCTATCCTTTCCCATCACCGCTAAAGTATAAGCCCTTCTTTGTTTATTATCCTAAGTGATCCAGCAAAGCTTTGTCCCTGGGGCTTCTAATCGAGTCCAAAATCATACCCGGAGAAAAGATCTTTTACAGAGGTTGACCTTCATCCACATGTTTCTTGGAAAGCAATTCTAGTTCCAGGAAATGATCAGGCATTCTTAGTTTTATGAGAAGGAGCCCTGAGGTTTGATTCAGGATGTGTCCATTGGTAGACCAGAAAGCATTTAGTTGGAAAATGTAATTCTAACTGACATCGCCATCCTCAGTGTGGACAAGCTCACGAGAACCCACTGACTTACTGACCTTGCTCAGCCCAGACTAAGACTTCCTGGAATGAAGCTTCCCTTAGCCTGCTGCTTTGTCCTGTATGTTCCAAATGGGCCTGTTTTTAACTGAGCCTCGTTCTCACCAACCACTGACCTGGGTCCAGAAACAAAATGGCTCCCTGTGCCTTCTGGCAGCCATTGGGGTTGTACATTTTCTTCTCTCCCTCAGGGTGAGTGATCATACATTCCTCAGAACCCAGCATCTCACTCAGAGTTCTTTTTCAGGTAGAAATATGGTTGAACCGTGTGCTTGCTCATATGAGGGCCACAGTGAGGCACGGGCTGACAGAAGGTGTAGTTGCCTACGAAGAAAAGCCAAGGGAACAGTGGCTCTTTGACTGTCCAGCTCAGGTATTCTAACCAGGACTTTTGTGGGCCCCTGTCCTTCACTAGGTCCTCTCCCTTGGGGGCCTCCCGCAGCCTTCAGGGCGCACCAGACCCCAAACTCACTATGTGCTTCCCAGTTAGAAGAGGCTGGTCTGTGAGGGGGTTAGCAAGAGAGAACAGGGGAATTGTCAGCCATGACCCACTCCAACCATGACCTTGGAGAATCAAGGGTTGGCCATTTTTACCCTCACTGACTACCGTAGGGAGAAAATGTAAACCATTCAACTCGTTGAGCCAACCTGCTTGGGATATGCTAGGATCTTCACTGAACACAGGAGACCCCCAACAGGGAACGAGACATCATAACCCTGCCCTGCCGAAGTTTACAGACTGATGTGAAAGTCAGTCGCTTACCAATGAGACCTGTACTCTGGGAGCACAGAGCTAGCTAGTAGGGTCTGGGGACCACCCCCCTGAGGATAGGACACAGAATCTGAGGTCTGAAGTAGAAGCAAACAAGTGAAAGATGGAGGGAAAGAGCCACCAAGCATGGGGAGGACCATGAGCAAAGGCTCAGAAGCAAGGAAGAGCATCCTGTGGTTGAGGAACTGAGTGTGGTTGCAGCAAGAGGAAGGGGAGGAGGAAGTGAGAGGCAGCAGGTGTGTCCTGCAGAAGAAACTCAAAGCCAGTTCTTAGGGACCACCTGAGGGAGTCTGACTGGCTTCCGAGATGTATCTGAATCCTTTCCAGGCTTCTCAGGAGGGTGATGAGGGAGAGGTGTGAACTAATGAGAATTGTTTAGATGACTCTGGCTGCAACATACCCTCCTGCCTTCCCTGTTAGGGGCACAGTGCTGGCGCTGGTGCATTTGGGGGTTGCAGATGTCTACCGGTAATTGAAGCCATAGGTGTAGAGAGGACGGCCTTGGAAAACACGTAGATGGAGATGAGGATGTTGAACAAACCCTTGAGCATCATGCAAAGATGGGGTCAGCGAGGAAGAGCCGGTAAAGCAGAATGAGAAACGGTGCCTTTTTAGATAGAGGGAAAACCAGGGAATGGTCATAATGGAGACCAAAAACAAAACTGTCGGTAGTGGGTGAGAGGTCAGTCATGCCATGCACTTGGAAGAGATCAAGCAAAACAAAGAGGCTGAGAGGCATCCCTGAACTTGGTGTGGCCATTTCAGTGGAGTGCCAGGTGGTGTCATGTTGCCCGGGGGGGTGGAGACGGGAGAGGAAGGTTGGGAAATGTTGGCAGCGAGTGTAGACTTGGCAGCAAGTGTAGACAAACAGAAGAAATGAGAAGGAAGTCAGTACTGCTGAAGGGAAGAAGTCTTTTTCTTTTCTTTTCTTTTTTTTATTATTATGTGAATCACCAAGGGAGGAAGCCTTTTTTAAAATTTTTTTATTGTTATGTTAATCACCATACATTACATCATTAGTTTTTGATGTAGTGTTCCATGATTCATTGTTTGTGCATAACACCCAGTGCTCCATGCAGAATGTGCCCTCTTTAATACCCAT